TATACCTATCATAAGACTCAGCACTTCCACTCCTAGGCTCCTGGGTACACACTCGGAGAAATAAGTGCATATGCCCACAGGAAGACTGTCTTAGAATGCTCATAGTGACTTATTTATAATGGTCGACAACTGGAAACAGTCCAAATATCCAACAGAAAGATGGATAAACAAATTGTGGTACTTTTCTTAGTAATAAAAAGAGCAATCTGATATACATACATTGATGAACCTCAAAAATATTATGTTCAGAAAAATAAGAGTGCACACTGTGTGATCGATCCCACTTAACACAAAGTTCAAGAACCAGCAACACTAAGCTAATGGTGATGGAAGCAGAAGATGATTATGTCTGAGAGGGTTAGGTATTGACCAGAAAAAAGGGGTCATAGGGAGCCTCATGGGGCAATGGAAATGTTCTGTTTCTTGGTCTGTTTAATGGTGTTAAAAAGTAAACCAATTCTCAACACCTCACCTAAGTACTGTTTCAACACCCCAGGAGTATAACTATACCTGTCAGTCAGGAATGTTCGGATCAGCACAGATAAGGTGATCTGTCACAGGGACCCTCTTCATCCCCTAATGGAAGATGAGGTCATCCACCAACTAAAACCTTTTTGTCCCCAAATGAAGGTGACCTCCCCTGAAATAATCCTTTTTTTCTGTTTATGATATTCTTACATTGCCTTGAAAAACCTTTCCCTTTGTGTAGCCCTTCAGAGCTCCCCTCTACCTGCTAGATGAGATGCTGCCCGATTCGTGAATGGATCAATAAAACCAGTTAGATCTTTAAAATCACTCAGTTAAAATTTTTGTTATGTAACAATGATCAGGTGGGTGTATATGGATATACAAATTTATTGCTGTGGACTGAATTGTGCCCCCCTCTCAAATTCACATGTGGAGTCCTAACCCCCATGTGATGGTATTTGGAGGTGGGACCTTTGGAAGAGAATTAGGTTTAGATATGGTTGTGAGGGTCAGGCTCCTGTGAGGAGAAAAAGGCCAGAGCTTGCTTTCTCTCTCCGTCCACCATATGAGGACGCATGAGAAGGAGGCTCTCTGTAAGCCAGGCAGGGAGCCCTCCCAGAACATGACTGTGTTGGCACCCTGATCTCCGATGTCCAGCTTCCAGAATGAGGAGAAAATAAAGGTCTGCTGCTTAAGCACCCAGTCTGTGGTATTCGTTATGGCCACTGAGCTGACTAATACATTCATCATGTCCAAAATGTGTACATTTTGTTGTCATGTAAAATTTCCTTCAATGAGTCCTTTTCAGATTACCTTGATGAAAACACTAACTATAGTGACAATGACAAAAGAGAGGGAGAGGCTATTTGGGGCCCTGTATGAGATGGACACTCTACATCGTCCTCAGTTGCTCCCAGTCTTTGTACCCTGGAGGGTTCTTTCCTTTCCTTTCCTTTCCTTTTCTGTTCTGTTCTGTTCTCTGTTAAATTTGGATCATGGAGCCTGTATTTCCACGCACAAATCTAGCAGACAGAATTATTTTCCCGACTTAGAGCAAAAGGGCCTCTAGCAGGAATGGAGAGCTACGGGCCCTGGGAAAGTGACGATGGAAACTTAGCAAGAGATACTTGGACTCAACCATGGCCCTCTGAATGAGGGACACAGCCCACGAAGATGGGGACACAGGATGTGGGCTGGAGCAGGGATTGCATTTCTTTACACAAATAGAGGTCTGAATACCGTGGTGCTAGCAAAAGGAGGCGTGAGCAGAGGAAGAGAAGAGAATGGATGCTCCATGTGCATGGGACACACTAATTGTACCCAGGCGTGTCACGTCAAACACACCCTGATGTACCGTGGCTCCTGCATTCCCAGGAGAAACTCATATTTTGGTTTTTACCTTAAAAAGCAATAGCTCAAAGCCCTGGGAGCCCAATAGCCCATCAGGAGGTTTTTCCTCTAGAAAACTTTTCCATAGCAGGTGTGTTGTGACTTAGCCTGCCATGGAAATCCAGTGCAGAAGACATAATAGAAACAATGATCACAGTGGGGATCCTAAGACTGACTTAAAGAAGCTCTCCAGAACTTCTCTCCTCACTAGGCCACAAGAGCGAAGTAAGCCCAGGGCCAGCTGGTCTGGGTGGGGTGCAGACAGGAAGGGGCTCCGGCCTTCCTGCCCCCTCCCCACTTGCACCTGCCTGCCTCTGGCACCACCTGCCCGGGCCGTGCGTGGGATCTCAGGCAGAACACACGCAGAACTTTTCTGGTGACTCTTAGGTTACAGACGGTCTCTTTTGCTAGGTATTCAGAAGAGCGCCCTGAACTTGCTACAGAGTACCAGCACTCCTCCTCACCCAGCACAGGCCTGCCACAGCTGGGAAGCCTCCACTTTCTGCTCTGTCACCTCCTGCCCCAGAGCTGTTTGGGTCCTCAGAGTGGGGCACCTGTGGGGGCTCCTCAGAGATACCTCGTGAGGGGGTCTCTGGCCACAGTTCTGTGGCATGTGCAAAGCTCTCAAGCCGGCCGCTTTATGACTCCCCAAGTTTCTCAACCACTTTCTGCCGAGGTCCACCTGGCCCCTAGTAGGAAGCTGTCTTGGGTGGTTCATGCTGGTTCCCTTCCTTGAGGTCCACCCTTGGCTCCAAGAAAACATGTGCCTCTGCCTTGCCTTTGGTGTGGATGCCCCTCACCCCCTGCTCAGCGCTCTCCCCTCCCCTCCCATGAGGCTGTCAGCCAGCTCACTCTAGATGTTTCCAGGAGCAAGCCAGGTTCTGGTCCTTACGTCCTCCAGATTTCAGAGATTTCCAAGTGGATTTCTTGAAAACCCCCTCACTAGGGTGAAGATGGGGGATATGATGGTCAATTTCAGATGTCAACTTGGCTGGGCCATGATGCCTAGACATTTGGTCAAATATTCTCCCTGTTTCTGTGTTTTTTGAGATTAACACTTTAATCAATGGGCTTTGGATAAAGCAGTATATCCACCATATGGTGGGTGGGCCTCATCCAAACAGTTGAAGGTTTTAATAGAACAAAGTCTAACCTCCCCCAGCAGAACAGAATTGTGTAGCTCTTCCCTAAGTGTCCAGCCACAGGCCTATCCAGAGGATTCTGCACTCACCAAGCCTCCACAATTGTGAACCGGTTCCTTACGATGAGCTCCCCTCCCTGCTCCACGTCCTGCTGGTTCTGTCTCTCTGGGGAACCCCCAAGGGAAGGAGTGGGCAGCTCACAGCACCCTGACAGTCACCCCCAAATAAAACAAAACCTGGTGGCCAGTCTCCATCTCCTTATCCTCTTTTTTATTGATTGTGAAAATATGGAAGCATTTGTATACTGGTTGGGAAATAGCCACTGTCCTGAGTCCTTTTCCCTTCCCTGCTTCCAGAGCCCTTCCTCTGCCCCTCTGGGACTCTCTCTAGAGTGTTGGGTCCTGCTTGTCAAATATTTGTACTGTCACTCCTGCTGACCCCTGGACATGAGGGATGAGCTAAGGGCGACTTCACCCACTGTCTCTTGGAGCGTCCTGTGTAGGTAGGCAGATTATAGTGTTGTTCTTTCACTCTTAAGCCAGAATAGAGGCAACAGGAAGCAACTGCCTTTAATATATAATTCCATGTAAGTGAACGAGGTCCTCGTTTATTTATATACATAAATTCATTTTATTATTATTAAATTATATTATTTATTTAAATTATATTGTATTACATATTTTATTATTAAATTATATATAAAAATATATAAGGTATATAAAAATTATATATATAAATATATAAAATCAAGGGCCTATGGTCAAAGTAGTATCAGGAAGCGATAGGATGCCTACCACCTGGTTCTGGGATGGGATGTTTAGCCCGTACTTCCCCAATACAAATATAGGAATACTATTTCCCTGCAACCATCCAGGGATTTGTAGAAAGTGTGAAGTTTCTAGGAACTTAAGGAAATAATGAGAGACAGGTGTCAGGATTTTGCCACAGTGATACTTATCATAGTGTGGCTTACAAACCAGCAAAAAATTGAATCTCCCTTGGGTCAGAGATTGCTGTTGCCTCCCTGTATCCATTCTCCTTTATTCCTTAGTATGGAACCAATTTACCAGGGGTGGAAGCAGACCTGGTTTGAAAGAGACATACATTTCCCAGCTTCCCTTGCAAGTGCAGGTGGCCACGTGACTCAGTCAGTTTGGGGCAATGAGATATAAGCACCAGTTATTGAGTGGGCTTCAGGGAAGCTCCTTAAAAGAAGAGCAGAATAGGCTGGCGTGTGCCCCCACCACCCTCTGCTTTCTTCCTTCCCACCACCTGAACGGTGGCCGTGATGGCCGGAGCTCTGGCAATCACCTTGACAGCTGAGTAGAAGGAGACTGGGTTCCTGGAGGTATGAAGGAGCTGTTCTCGCAACCCCCCAAGCTTCTTTCACTCAAGAGCCAAATAGATCTCTGTCTCATTAAGCTGTGTCATTTGGGTTTTTTGGTTACAAGCAGCTAAATTTAGTCCTAGCTGAAACAATACCCAAACGTCCAACAACAGTAGCATGATTAATGAATTACAGTCCAATCATACTATAGATTATTTTATAGCCATTGAACGATCGTATAGAAAAATATTTGGTAACATACAGAAGTGTTTGTGACATACTATTAAGTAAGTCTGAAGACAGGATATATAGTAAGATCCCATTTTATGAAGAGAAAATAGACATAAACCGTATAAGAAAAAAAGCTTTGCAACAGTTGTATTAAAACCTCTCTGGTGGTGGCGCAATACAGTGATTTTCCTTTTCTACTTTTTGAAATCTGTAATAGCCACAATTTCCTAGTTTTGTGACGGAAGAGTAACAATGGGTTATTTTTTTTAAAGAGGAGATTGTGGAGTGTTTTGTGTTTTGTTTTGTTTTGTTTTAACATGGGCAACAAAAGTGACTTTTTTAAAGAACCATGAGACGCGCTTGCAGCCCTGTCAAGATTTGCCGCAATGGTCCCCGCCACCTCTGGTCGCGAACCGCCCTTCCTGCGGTTTGCTTCCTCTCACCTTGTTCTCTTGGCTCCTGGGTCCGGCTGTATTGGGATTCTCCACCGAGACATCCTGCTCTGGGGGGAATTCAAGGTCAGGGGCTCATTTACAGACTGTCCATTTTCCAGTGAATCTGTGACATTTAAGAAAGGCAGAGAGTTAGAAAGTGTGCATTTCCCCCCTTTCAGGCAGTTCTCTCTGTGACAAGGGACAGTGGCAAGTTCACCCGGGAGGGAAGGAGAGGAATGAAGAGGGGTGTTCTTCCTCTCACACCCCTGGAGGGGAATTTGCCATGGCTTGCACGTATTTGGTGACCTGGGATGCCATCTGTATAAAAATTATAATTACGATGCAAGAAGCTTCATATGTATACAGACACAGTGGGAAAAGAATATTGGAAATGAGATTGCAACTTAGATATAAACCTGATTAATGCCTTAGAGCCCAATAAAACCAGAACTACCAGTGTTATTGTTCCTACTGGACTAAAATCATTTGCAATTTATCCAGTCTTTTAACATCTAACTTTACAATGTCCTAGTCCTAAGTGCTATTAAATAATAAGTCAAGCTCCCTCCCCTGGGCGTCAGGTCCCCTGTAGGTGGGTCGTCAATCCCTGATCTATGTGACTTTGAAAAGGCAGCCCTTTAGCAGAGTGAAGCCAGAGCACAAATCTTTTGTTGTTGGAGAGCGGGCCAGAGCAGCCCGACACCAGCTGATCCGTTTTGTCTGCTCCTCCGGAGGCAGAGCGTCGGGGGGGAGAGTTTTCTCCTTGGACTCTGGATCAGGAGGTTCTGGGCTGTCTTGGGAGTTAACTCCAGGGAAGTGCAGCAGGGAGTCACTCTAAAAATAAAACTCTGGGGCGCCTGGGTGGCTCAGTTGGTTAAGCGACTGCCTTCGGCTCAGGTCATGATCCTGGAGTCCCGGGATCGAGTCCCGCATCGGGCTCCCTGCTC